TACTAACAGGCACTAAGAAAGAGAAAGAAATCAAGACATTAGTTTTTGGGTTTTTTCCAGATATCCTGCCAACTAAGTTAAAACAGCTCCACCTCCAAATCAGCTCCACGTAAACGCTTCCTGAATGTAATGGGGAGGAGCTGCTCTGGACAGTGGTGGTTCTTTCCATGTGCTGTGTCTAAACTTGTCCCTTGCGTTTGGTAATCAACCAGCGGCTTTCGGGTTCAGCTTGGAAGCTTAGTGGCGTTTGGGAGTTTTTTCAGCAACAATACAATGCTTTGGGGAAAACATTTTGTTTGGAACAGGAGCTAATGCACGGCGATATTGGTGCAGCAGCTACAATGTAAAGATGAATTTCACTTGGGTTCTTCTAAGGAGATGGAAGCGTAGTAATGGTCTGTGTAAGAGTCATTGCAAGGGGGGCTGCAGACAACGTGCCCTGCCAACTCATAAATTATATGTTGTTTTGTGTTCCGAAGGGGCTACCAGTGGGGCCTGTTTGTTACGTGTGGCACACTGTTATTTCCAGCATGCACTTAGATGAAACAGCTTTTTGTTGAGAAGAGCACGATCCTTCCCTCCTTGGAGATAAACCGTCATTTAAAATTCTCTTGGTGGTGACTTTTTCCACTGCAAGCAAACTGGCAAAGCATAAAAAAAATGTTGTTTAGTTGGCTTGTTTTTTATTTTTCCTTAACGTGAGACCAATTTAAAAACGTGCGTGTCTGGGCTGCGGACTCTTCTCGGGATTCTCGTGCAGCACGACGCTTTCAGCAAACTTGCCAAGTTTCTCACTGTGATGCTGCAAATTCTGAGCATCACGATATTGAGTGATGGCCCGGGGCTGCTGGGGCTGGGTGCGCTGGAGGCAGGGGACCCTCGCGCGCCGGAGGGTGCTGGACCCTGCTGGGGTCTGCTCTGCCGCCCTTGGTGGGAGAGGCAGCTCGATGGGGGGGGGTTTGGTATCCATTGGCAGGAAAATTCAGTGTTGGTGACGGGACGTTACAGAGAGCCGAGGCTGCAGCGCTGCACCTTGTGCTCCTCGGCAGTTTTGTGCATTTTGGGGTGGTTTAGGAGAAGCTTTGAGAATCAGGGTCGTTCAGGTGAAAACCAAGCACAGGGTGAGGGGTGGGGCGAGCAGAGAAAACCCTCTGTGGGTTTTTAACCACTCTGGACGCCAGTGGGGTCAGAAAATTGAAATATTAAAAAAAAAACAACAAAAAAACCCCAACAACAAACAAAAAAACCCCAAACAAAAACAAACAAGCAAAAGAGAAAACCAAATCCCCCACCACCCAAACCCCCAGTAAAATAAAAAAGGTTCGGACAGGGCTGGCGAGGCCGGGACGCGATGCAAACGCGACATCGCGGGCGGTCACCGGTCGCGATACCCGGCCCGGCCTCGGGTCAGCGCACGTCAGAAAACCAGTCTGCGCCATCCTTGTGGGTTCCTCGCTCGAGGCCGGCTCCCGCCATTCAGCCAGCAGCTGCTGCCCAGCGAGGACAGCCCGAGCCCTCCGGCGTGCCACCCTGCGCCGGCTGTAAGGCTCCTCATCCTCCCCTTCGGGACTCCGCTGACCCGGACAACGGTCGCGGCGCGCCGTGTGCCGGGCTTAGGATGACCTGTGGGTACCCATCTGCTCGACGCGAGGATGCCGAGTCCCGACAGGGGGGATGCGCCGTGCCCCCTCCTGCTGGCTTCTCGCCGGCGGGTGAATGTCGGGGTGCCGGCAGGCAGGCTGCGGTGCGTGCCCCACTCCGGATGCTCTGCTCTGGTCCGGCTGTGCCCCCCGGCTCTGTGGGGACAGAACGGCCTTTTTCTGCCGTCGCACAGCAACACGCGGGCCCTGGGCTAGAGCGGCACTTCGAGGGACTTCCGCAACACAGCTAGTAACGCTTCTTAAAACAGAGGTGGGGAATGAGGGCTGAGCTAATCCAAGAACAGGTCTGGCAATCAGGATGAAGCGTGAAAGGCAGAGCGCTTGTGTCTCGCCAGCTTGCCTTCCCCGGGCTCTGGTGTATATGTATGTTTTAAGCAGTTCATACGCTAGTACGGTATTTCCCTAATGCACGGATTCTAGAAAATAAAAATCACACACCAGAGCAAGACTAACAGTACTTGCCTGTATTTCTGAATTTCTTTTGTTCTTTTTTTTTAAACTCACAGAAAAAGGAAAAAGCCTTCTGGGACCTGGGAAAGGATGGTACAAGTCAGCTGTGACAGCTGGAAAACTTAGATGACAAGTATCCAACATAACTAATAATTTCTATCTCCTAAATCTCTGGGGTGTATTTTTTGCCATTTTATTTGCTGGTAGCATTTGTCTTCAAATTACTGTGGTTTCAGAGATACCCATTACTTGGCACTGTGTCACCGTGACCACCTTTCTCCTCCTTCCTCCATCCCTCCATGGAGCTTGCTAAATCTCTCTCAAAAAATTCTGCCCAAGTTACTGATTCTGTCCACTGTTCCATTCTCCCTCTACCGCTCTGCTGTTCGGAGAGGGCAGAAAAACAAGTCCTGGCATAGAAAATGTCAGCTCATCACTTCAGCATCTTTCTTCTCATATTTTTGCATCCACATGGCAATGGCATTAAGATGGAGCATTTAGGCATGCAACTGCAGCTCAGGTAGGGAGCAGGCAAATCCTAAGAACAGGGAAGATTTCTTACTTAAAGAGAGTGGTGGTTGAGATCCTGAGTGTAGGTGTGTACAGGTTTTTATACACGTACGTTCAGAGGCAATGCGGGTAAGCTGCATCACAGCAGGGCAGCTTTCGAGGCAGGGACGAAACAGTGACTACGATCTGTGCCTTGGAAATATGACAGGCAGAAAACTTCAGCAGAAGAATGAAGCAGATGCAGAGATCTGTTTTCAGCACAGGCACAGCAGATTCGAACCTGGAACTTGGGGCCTAATAACAGAGCAGGTTAAATGTTGCCTGGCATTAAGACTTTCATTTGGTTTTGCTTCCCTTTTGGTACAAATCTAATGTTCAAGAAGTTAGAGGTAGAAATACTGGGAAAAATAGGAGCAAAGATTTCGTGTGTTCCACTGAGGCTTCATTTGCAATGAATTGATGTCACTTTTTTTTTGGTTGCTCTCCAAGGCAACACGGTGACATCACCCTCTTGCTGCCACATCGCGCTAGGGCACCTTCATTTTCTAGGGCAGCAATTGCTTCTCCAGCTTGCACCGCTGTAATTCAAACTAGAATACACTCCTTGCTTTGCCGTGCATTTGTACTGCTTCTCTTCTGTACACGTTTTGTTTTTGTGCATGTGTTGCTTACCAGAGGGACAGACTCCTGCACTGGCATGTTTTCTGGTCAGGTTCTATACTGAGCAGCCCAAGTCCCAAGATAAGATACTCCAGTGATCCAAGCAAAATTCCAAAGTACTGGGTAAAACAAAGAATGGAAAAAATAGACGTTTTCATGACAATGCTGTTACAAAGACTATTTATAGCTGGTAAATGTCATCCACCTCTGCACCAAAATAAAATCCAGGTAGCTCATGGAGGGCCTTTCAACCCCCAGAAATGTTAATATCCTTCAGAAGTGCTTTGAGACTTTGTCATTTATGATCTTCATAATTCATACCTTCCTGAAAGTGACTCCTCCCTGATTTGGCAATAATTTAGTACTGTTGCCTTACAAAATATTTTACCATTCACTGTTGTTAGGAGGGAAAAAAAACACAGAACAGTAAATACTTTTTAACTGTATTTTTCATCCTAAATCCCTTTTGTTTGCTTACCCCGCCCCCCCAACCTGCACAAGAAGCACTGCGTGTCTACACAGGCTCTACAACACAAACCCAAGCTCCCCTCTGAGCCGACCAGCTGTGAAGTAGAAGCCTTTTGACAGCTTGTTAGTCCAGGGCTGCACTGCGCTACCGAAGTTGTATGACTTCTCGTTCAGCTGGCTTGCCTTTAGCAAACTTGGAATGTGAGCAAAACAAGCTCAGATATGTCTGTTCAGCCCAACGCACACAGATCCACAGCCACTGAGGGGGAATTCTACAGCATTTAGGTCATAGAAGTTCCAAGTCACCATTCTGGAAGTCCCCCTCAGCTGCCACCTCGTTTGAGGAGGCGGCACCTCTACTCTGTATAACGCCGTTATCTTACTTCAACCATGTACACTTATGACTCGGTCTGAGCGAGATGCAAAACGCATTCCCTTACCCAAACCAGGGGAAGGCTTGATTTAAAAGCTGGTTTAGAACATGGCTAACAGGCAGTGACAGGACCCACCAGTGTCCCTTGTTCCTTCCTTACAAAAGCTTAGAGCACACTCAATTCTCTTCTCTTATTGGGAAGGTTGAAACCTGTATTTCCTACTTCCCAACAGACTGCTCGATGATCCAGGCAGAGAGATTCCACCCTCCCTATTAATAATAAAAGCATATGAGATTCTTTAACATTCTCATTGCTGCTCTACTGCTTCCATTTGTCAACAAGAGAAAGGAAGGGTTCCACCATCTGTTTCAGAGACTATGATGTGTTTCATAATAGCCAATTGACAGATAAAATCCAGAAGCAGATTACAAATGGTATCAGGATTAGATTGCTGGTTCTACAAGAACAAAGCTTTTAAATTGCAGTTTTAAACATGTCATTCCAATACATGTCTTCTCATGTGGTTGCACAGAACACAGCATAGTGAGGCTCAGATCACTGCAGTTCTTTGCATCACCTTAAGTAAAAAAATGAAGCTAGTACACTATGATTTTTGTTGGTTTACATCCCGTGACAAGCATTAATTCTATACAAGTAACTTGTTTTATATCAAATGAGGAAATTCTAGTCTAGTCACAGGCAAGTTCTAAAATGGCAGCTACTTGGAAAAATTAAGACCCTACTTAGTTCAGTTTTAGGTCCCATCTGGACTAGGGTATGGAAGCTGGGACTCGCACTGTCCTCACTCTGACCTCAAGTAAGAAAGGGAGCCCTCACTGTTAGGCTCAATGACTACTGAAAAATAGGAAACTCCTTGTAAACACCTTTTATTGACAACATTTTGCAAACACCTCAGTCCACAAGTACTGTCCAGAAGCTTCATCCTTTGTAAAACAAAATATATTTCTTGTGACTAATTACAAAGTTTGTGGATTAACACAAAGTGTCTGTCTGCACAGATCTGTAAATGTTTTCCCCTGAAGCACAAGCAACACAAGTATTTTTGTATACAAATTCACAGAAGCAGTAGAAAACTATTTTTCAGCTCTGGCTGTCTTACTGCTGGTTTCAATACAAAGTGAAGACACTTGGATATTCCTCAACAGTACAGTCAGTCTTCATATTATACACCTACTGTTTGGTCTCTGTTTCCATCTGAGTTTCTTGAGATTCTTCAGCTTCTGAAAGTTTTTCGTCATCTAAAATTCAATATTACTGTTAGCCAAACATGGTTATATTTACAGACTATATTGCAGAGCTGTGTCCCACTTAAATATTTTATGTTGATTGCCTTAAATGTGTAGTTGAGTATCTCTCAAACACAAAATGCTGTGTTCAAACAAACAGAAAAATCCTTTAAAGTTTTTAAGGCTGCTATCTGTAACAGCTATTAGAGGAAACATGGGCTAAATCCTACAGTACCAATTCAAGCAAACAGTACTGGACTGCTTCAAATTACTTGCCTTCTCTTTGCCTATTAAGGTTTACTTCAAACTGAAGCTGTGCCTTCCACTAAAATGTTACTTCCTTCATAAAATTCTAGAAGCTGGAAGGAAATCTATACATTCATGTGACAATATATTTTAGAGACTAATACTTAAGCAAGTGTTAGCAACACATAATAACAGTAACCTTCTGCTAAAGTGCACCTAGGATTAGCGGCTCATTCTGCTTAAGAAGATCCAGACGGCCTCAGAGAATGAAAGTCTGCTCTTACAGCCATCTCTGTATGTTAATCAGGTCATGCTCAAAGGCTATACCAATTATTCTGTCTTGGAAAGACACAGCAAATAATATTTAAAACAATATTGTCATATTAGAGCACAAAAAGTAAGCGCTGATTTGAAAATATTACGTATTTGTAGGACAAAAGATGAGTATGACTAATTCCCGAATTTAGCTCTTGTATATGACAGTTTTAGTCCCTACTCTATTACAGACTCACTCTGTGAGTAGGTAAGTCAGTTCGCTTTCCTGAATTTCAATTTCTTTTTAGTAAAGCCTCAAACAATACCATGATGGCAGTGACATGTTCAAAATTACTGAAACATGAATTACATAAATCAGTTTGGAAACTATACACAAGCTAGTCAGGAAATGACAGGGTAGCCAGCTTGCAGAAGAAAAAAATTCTGAGCAGTCTCAGGCTCCGGACTACTACTGGGAAAAAAAATGCTGTCGATGCAAGAGGTCACCAACCTCAACTGCACACAGCTAGCCCACCGCTGGAAGCTGCGATTCCTTTGGATTCACCGAAACCCAGCCCAGTTATGTATCTGTTGCACACAGCTAGCCCACTGCTGGAAGCTGCGATTCCTTTTGACTCACCGAAACCCAGCCCAGTTATGTATCTGTATTACCTAAGAACACCACTTACTTTCCAGGGTTTGCTGAAGCTCATGGATGGTGCTCAGCAGAACATGAAACTGCTTTCTTCTCAGCTCCAACTGGAATAATAAAATATCTATTTTAAGAAACAGAGAGCATGTACAGCCACACAAGCCATCGCAGAATGTCTGCAAATTATGTTCCTAATAATTATATAACAACCTCTACGAAAAACCTACCTTATCTTCAACATTTTCTTTAATGTGAGAAAGATGCTGAAGTTCTTTTCCCAAAGCTTCTAGCTGCCTGAAAAGAAATTGTCATAGTATTTTTAAAAAGTTCTGTAAAATTTTTGAAAAATAGAATTTAACTCTTGAAAAAAAGATTTTAACTATGTGGAGGAAAAAGAAACATTAAATAAATAGCATATGTAAACAAAGCATAACAAATGAAATGACACAGAGACATAAATGTTAAACTATTATGTCATAAATTTGTAATTTCAGGACTTTTACAGAAAACAAGCCCTCCAAGCTGGAATACATTTGGACTGTAACAATTCAATCCTGACACAAACATGTTATTTACTTGACCATACAATGAAAGTTAAACACCCTGGCATTTTCATAGGCTTCACTACTTTACAGACTTCTTTATGTTGACATCAGTAGATTAAATAAAAACATAGCATCAGCATGGAGAACATATCTGATAAACGTACAGACCAAACACAATACAAACACAATTCCCAGACACAACAACTGACCAAACACATAGTCAAGTACCTTATCTCTGACAACGGCCTGACCAGAGTACTGGATAACACGTAGATTTTACAGTAGATATATGTAGAATAATCCACTTTTTTGATGAACTACATGATATAGCTTATGCCTCAGCACACAGAATTTAACAGTGTGATCCATATAAACACTAATTTCCTTCTCAAATGCCATTTTTATTTTCATTGATTGCCTCTGGCATTAAGAGATAAAGGAAACATGCAACGCCTATAATCTTCATTATTATTCATATCCTTTTGAAATATATCCTCTTTCAACACCTTTTCGGGATCTTTCTTCAAGCATTTGCTTGTTTTCTGTTCTCACTTCGACCAACCATGGACCACCACAATCGTTTTTGAGGTAGGGCAGAGCACAACAGGTACCATAATGTATACCAGCTTTCAAATGAGGATGGAGCATCAACTCTTACACTCAAACCTCCAGTTCGGCCCTTCTACTTTTTCTCTAATGCCTACCATAATTTACGCTCCATGCAATGAGAACAATCTGCTTCTTTAAAGGTTAAGTGGATTGAGGCTGACCATCCCCGATTAATTAGCAGGCAGAGCCACATAAGGGTCAGCAAGGAAATAAAACTTTTTTTTTTTCTGAAGCACTGACAGCTGCTGCAACCAGTCTGGGCAGGGAACCACAAAAAGGCCTCCAGTCCCGAGTAACTCGCAATGGCAGGGAAAAGGGTCTGGCTTAGCACTACCTGAAGGCACTGTCTTTTTTTGAGCCAGGGTTCTTGGTACCTTGAGGGAACACCTGAAAGAGAGTGTAACACTATCCCTTCCTACAATGGAAACAGGCTTGTGGGCTCATACAGCAATTTTGCTAGTATTTGGCTTCTAGTTTCTGAAAGGCTTCTATTGGGCCAAATCTTGCTGTCTTTACCGTACCGTCCGCCACAGGCACACTGTGAGAAGACATGCAATTTTCTTCTAGTAACATCCAGGCTACATCTGGAATTTTATTTCTTTTACTTGCTGCTCCAGAGAATCTTTGCCTAGCCTTCTCATTTTTGTATTTCCTTTTCTAAGACTCTGTGTCATTTCTTGGCCCTCTTAACAGCTCTTCTGATACTGTATCTATTTACACTGCGGGCACTGCCATTTAGCAGTCCAGCTCCTGTCACTTCCTGAACTGGCTCCTGTGCATTACTTCTAAGCCGATAACAGCTTCTCTTTTGTGCTGGATGACTACTTGTTCCAAGAAACTGTCCCTTAAAAGCATAAAGAAAGTATTTTTCTGAACTTTGTCCTATTGTGCCATATGACCTGCAAAAGGCATAAATTTAACTCTGACAATAAGCCATGACATTTCTCCTGACAAGAAGTTTTCTCAAGTGGTTTTAGTGATTAAGAGTCCCACGAAAAGCATGACTTTGTTAGAGAGGCTTCCGCCATCCTGAGTTAAGAGTGGTCCTTCTTGGTTCATACTACTATTTTCTGTACGTTTTCCTTGAACTGGAGAGAAATGAAGTCCTGTAATTAAAACATTGGATGAAAACTTCATCTAGTTCCTGTATTTGAAGTCTATTCACTTAGAGAGGTCAGTTAAAAAATATCTATGAATCAAGCTCCCTTTAAAAATGCTCTGTTCTGTTACCATGTCCTATTTTTCCATCTGTAAAATGGGGGATCATACTCTGCCCAAGCGTGTCTCTCTGACTACGGATACTAAGGAAAAAGCTATTCTTCCAGTGGATGAACATGTTGGTATTTCTAAGTGTAATATACTCTTCTGAAGAGATGATAATATTAAGTTTAAGAAAAGACAAAATGCCAAATTAACTAGCTGTAACTTGCCACCATTTCTAGCTTTGCTAAAGAAACTTCTGCTTGGATGTGGTAACCAAAAGTAGAACAACCTCTCCAAACCTAAACAACTTGGCATCCTCTAAGGAAAAAGTACTATCATTTAGTTGTTTCCATTCTTAATTGACTTATCTGAAAAACTTCACTTCTGATATTTCTTTATTATGAAGCCTCACTTGATAAATTGCACATGCTGACTAATGAAGTAAGTAAGAAGTAGTCAAGCCTCATGAGAATTGCCTCTAATAGTCAAAAGTTGTGGTAATGAAATCAAGGCACAGAAAAACAACATACAAGAAACAAATGTGCGAAATATTCTCAGTGGCTAATAGCTATAAAAATCCTACTATTAGGTTAATAATGTAATAAAAATATCTTCCTTTTGCTATAAAAGGCCATGGAATGTGAAAAGACAGTCTCCCTCTCCAATTTCACTGGAAGTAAGCAACAGAATAGCTGCAAGCTGTGCTTAAATGAGACAGTACCCCCATGCTACACCTTTAATCAGGTTAACAAGAACAAACTCATAGATGCAATGAGTCCTAGAATGTTTCTGTGGCTTGATAAAGCTGAAAAGACTATGTCCCCACAGCAGTCCAAACCGACCCAAAAGCACAGATAGTGACTGAAATCCAACAGTTACACCAGCAATACTGCAAGTTACGTGCAAGATGAGTTGGAAAACAGGTAGGTCTAACCTGCGTGCCAGGGCAGGTTATATTGTGGTACACAACGTAGTAATTTATGACCTGGCATATGGTAACAACTACTACAAGGAAAATATATTAAAAAAAAAAATAAATCTTAAGAGCTTTCTCCTGCTTTTGCTCAGTCCACCTTACTTGCTTGTGTGTCATGTATTTTGCCTGACTACTGAATCCCTTGCTGGTGTACTTTTCAGCACTTCCTCGCTATCTCTCTTTTCTGAGCAACTTGTCCTCACTACACTGACATTCGATGTGCTGAGTTTACAGCTGAGTTCACTTATTCACCTTAACAATGGAAAAATTTGAAATACAAAACAAATAGCAATGCTTCTGAACCCACACAGATGGAGATTAATTGAAGAAAACTGATAAGGGCACAATTTTGAAACGAAACCCAACTTTTTCTTGTACCAAAAGAAAGTATAAAAAAGTGAGGAAAGGTCAAACTGAAACCAAGGAAATGTCAAATCTGGTGACTTCTAGCTTACTGGCTTATTATAATTTCACGTAGTCTCATACTTACTTCAGTGTTTCATGTCTGTCTGGATGGTGCTGTATGACTTTGGCCAATGCATCATATTCTGAAAGAAATTTAAATAGTTAAGTCTAAATAATTCTGAAAGTATAGATTCAAGAACCAAAAATCAGGCACCATAGAATGGTACAGATTCTTTCTCCTTCTTGAAAACCAGTTTTAATGTTTTACAAATTTGCATGTAACACCTTACATATATAAAAAGTACCTGCAAATATCCATATACATAAATGTGTATAATTTATACCATGCTATAACATTTCAAAGTAGATGATTACATCAAAAGAGAATTTAAATAAACTTCAGAGGTGATTGCAGGCCATTATCTACTCGTTCAAACTTACCCAGTGCTAGTGATTAGTAAAGGACGAGGCCAGAAAACACGACCTTTAGACAGCTCTGCATTGCTGCACACTTGGTCTTTTGTGTATGATTCATAAGCATTGGTTTTGATGCAATCTAATGTATATGTACAGCAAATGGTGCTGATAAGATATACATATAAATTTTAAAATTTTAGAAAAAAGTATAAAAGGATGCATGAGAAACAACAGGCTTCTTTTTTAAACTGTGTTACATATGAAGAACAACATTATGGTTATACAGGCAGTGAACATAGCCATTTCTGGATCGTAAGATGTACATATACCAACTACCTCATTCACATGGAAAAATCTGTGCTGCAGGCTGGACAGAACATATCAAAAAGCAAACACTTCAGATCTATGTTTGTGAAGATGCAAGAACTCTACATTCCTACTAGTTAAGGTTCTTTCAATTTCCAGTTGAGTCTAAAATTTTCCACAAAATTGATCAGACAGTTGTATTTAGAACTTTTCATCTTTTATACTTTTAAACATCTTCTTTTTGCATTTCGCTTACCAAGAAAAAAACAAATTCTTGTCTCTCCTCCATTGCTAATCTTTTGATAAGACGGCATTACAGGGAAATGCTTTAACTTTCAATTGAAATTATCAGCACATACACCTCACACAACAGGTATTCAGTAAGGACACATACAGAGTTGCTGGGTGGGTGTGTAACCGGCACCACTGTCTCTGTGTATGCGAAGACATTATCTTCCCTCAAGAGCTGAAGGCATACAGTTGCATGATCTTCTCTGCTGGGTGTAAGTCTATTCAGCTGTTGTCTTGCTGTTAATAATGTGCTTTAGTTCTTCTCAAGTCAACTGAATTGCGACAGGATGCTTTCAGGGTTTTTCTTTGGCCTGAAAACTTGTCTCTGAACTACCATTTTAGGTCTTCCTGATGTTGCATGCCATTGAGATCTACTGGTTCGGTCTTGCCTGCTTAATCCGCCAAAAACTTTCAGCAGTGCGTGTGGAACCCACCAGACTAAATACAGTATTCATGATGCCAGCATATTCCCTTGAGCTTTAAAAAAATCTGGAATCTATTTTCTGGTACAATGTTTTTTACAAGATAACAAAATAATGAAAGCGACCAGTGTAAATACAGACATTGCTCCTTACCCTGGCGATTCTTCCGAATCCTTTTTGCTTGCAGGATTTGTTTTTTGCATTCAGAAATCTTCTCATGTGCTGCAGCTATACTATTTTCTTTAAAAAAAAGTACACAGAGTTACACTGAAATCAAACACTACGTGTAAACAAGCCATTCTGCTAAATTATAGGAAGATACAGAGCTGTTTGGGACATGGTGGCCTGCTAACTCCAGCAGCTTCAAAACTACATATGCTTCAATGGGTTAAAAAAGCTTTTATTTGTATGCATTTTACATACTGATAAGATGCTTACAGCATATGTATGGGTGCTATCTATTAAGAAAAAGAGAAAAAACCCCAAACCACTCATCATATGTATATATTATGTTCACCAGAACTGGCTCAAGCTTGTTGATAAAAGAGAAATTGTCTAATAGAAAACAGTAATATTTTCCCATCTTTACCTATATCCTTATAGATTTTTTCATAATTTTCCATCTCTCTCAGGTTCATATCGTATACCAGCAGAGTTTTTCCCATTGAAAATTCACACTGTGATAAAGTACTCAGCATTCGTTGGTACTGGCTGTAACTGAAAATAGACAAGATATTTATTCCTAAGCAGCACACAAATACACCTTTACCAAATAAAGCCTCATAAGGAACATTTAAATAACAATTATTAAAGAAATAAAATATTTCAAAGATTCAATGTATAATTTTTTGAAAGTGGGGTTAGAAACGTTGCACCCATTAACTCCACCATCGCGTCCTTACAGGTGCCAAGTGAGTATCAAAGCAATGGGCAGACTGACCCAGGGCTCACAAACTCCTCAGCGAGGGCTGGCCCTGTGACCACCCAGATTCGTTATTTTAACTCTGCGCTGCTGCTCCCTACACACAACCGCTACATTATGTCCTCTGGGAATTTACACCCAGTACTAGCACGGACGCCACAGCAGAACACCACGTTGTCGCTCATCCCTCACTACTTTACAGGATCACAGAATCACAGAGTGGTCGGGGTTGGAAGGGACCTCTGTGGGTCATCTAGTCCAACCCCCCTGCCGAAGCAGGGTCACCTACAGCAGGCTGTAGAGGACCGTGCCTTTTAGCCTGATATAAAACCAAAAAAGAGAACCGCAGCAGCAGAAACACCAGCAGCTCTACCCTTCAGGTACCCCAACAGAACAAACGCACAACCGCCACCTACACCACTGGAGTCACGACCCTGCTACAGCCAGGGGC